ATGAAGTACGCATGATTGCAGGGTTTTCCAGATAGCCAGGTTGACGTCCAAAGTTCATTGTCACCGTGGAGTGATGTGGACCAGTGATTCTGGATACTGGTTCACATATGTGGGTGTGAGCCCATAGGTGCTTGTGTTGTTGAACAAGATATTACAAAACTACACACTGCCTGTCCCCACCCAGGAGTGTAATGGAATGCCTATGAGGGTGGACAACGGATTGCATTGGTCCCATGGCATAATGAACGGTGAAGTCAGTGTGACGGTGTGAACCATCCAACACAATCAGTGTGGCAGACAAGATGTGGTCAGTGGCACTGTCAGATCTTCTTGATGTGGCAAGAATTCACCCCCTGCTTCGTGTAATGATACCTTTAGCGAGACAGGGAAGCCAAACACAATACCTAGGATGTATTGACTTGGTTTTTATTAAGCTCTCATGTCAAGTACATTTACCCTAAACTTTATTCAAATATTGAAAATGGTACCAATGAGGAAGTGATTGTTTCACCATAATTTGCATGTAAATTTTGAGAAAACAGAGGCTAAGGAACCTATTTCCATCTGATTGATCTGGACGCTGTCCTTTTTTCAAAACTGTTTAATTTGTGATTTTATAATCTAGGCAACCTAGAATCATAAATGTAATATGTCTGAAAACAAGAGTGTGTTCATATTAATTGGAAGTTTGTATGCACCCAAATGACAAAGCTCACCATGTTAAGGGTTTTGCAGATTGCATCACCTTTTGTATCACAAGGTGCCATTTATACGTATACAAATTATGATAAAGACAACTTTCTCCTTTAAATGTGGACTGGTGTTTGTGTTACAAGAAAGTGGGATATATTACACACACTTCTTGCAATAATAAGGATTTTCTAACTGTTGAAATTTGATGAGACATTTTGTTCATTTTCGTAGTGTGCTGGGGTTAATGCATAAAAGCAGGAGTGTTGTTAAAGTGCTTCACATTAGTTTGGGCACAGATATTGTTCTCAGGTTTGCATCCTGTGCACGTGTACTCCATGTCTGCTTGATAGACGCTCGCTCGCAGATGAGTGTCTTTGATGTCTGTGCACATATCCTGATTCCCTTTGCAAGAGAACCTCCTCCTGACCTTATTTTGACCAATCAGCAGCCCGTGTATTTCACAGGTATGAGCATTTGGCCACAAATTCAATGTTATGGAGAACATAATGTGCAGTCAACATTTGGCCATCCCATCCCATGCATGCTATCCAGATTGGCTAGGCCTGTGCATATGTAGTTGAGCTTGAGTTGGTCCGTCAGACAATTATTGATCCAGGGTCTCCCAAACGAAAGAAAAGCATATTTTCAGGTCTGAATCACTAACAGACATACTTTCTGTGGAGGCTGCGTAAACCTGGTCAGCTGATGCAGTTTTTGTGAAACTGGTTATTTATCAATCAGTCAACAGCCTTTAGCAAATTCTGCTCGACGTGATGTAAAAACTTCCGATGCTTATCGGTTAGCGCACAGGATTGCATTAATTTGTAGGATCCATTGAAAAACAGGTGACAACCAGACTTATATACCCCCTCCAAAGTGGTCAACTTTAGAAGGGCTGCATGTTCACTAGTCTGACGTTGAGAGCACCATGCAGCTGGTATCCAAGTGAATATGCTAGATTAGTAAAGTTACTTGTGTTAAGTCTCTGCCATGTACTTATTATAATGCCCATACATCAGTGTTGCAGTTCAATTCATCACAAGTCACCTGGTCTTAAGCCAAGTCAGAAGCTATTCAGATGAGTTGAGAAAAGCATTCTTCTGTCACTGTTCACTCTTGCTTATTAGTGGTCTCGTGAAAGGACTTGTGATGGACTCAAGCAAACCACTGTCATAGTGCACACATTGTGAAGTTTGGGCTATAATTGCATACACTTTGATTAGTTCGGGTGTGAATAAGAATGGAGTTGCATTCATTTACAGGTCATTGTCCTGCAAGGCATCAAAACATTTACACCAGGAAATCGCTTTTTAAATATAAACATGAATCTATTAAATTTCTTTACACATATTCAAGTTCAGGGTTTGGCATATTTTTTTTGGATCCAAAGTATAATGGTTCTTGGGAGGACTGTTTTTCCCTATTACGTTTCGTTCAAGTATAAATTTTGAACTGTACTAAATAAAATGTCTGCATGTTGATGGTACATTCTTGGCCAAAGATAACCCAGAATGTGTTCTTTGGAAACATCAGCGTGTGTTGCAGGAAATTAAGAAATGTTTAGACTAAAAGTTGGATGGAATAAAATATTTATTTATATTCATGACAAACCGATATCGCTTGATTCTTTTTGACTGTCTTATCTGATGACCAGAATGAGAAACATTACTGAATTGGTGCCTCACCCATGCACATCCCATATGCATTCATTCTTCGTCCATCACTGGTGGTGAAGACCACTTCTCTCATCAATGGGCCTGGGTTGGGGGTTTTGTTGATGCTTCAGTGGCTGACTAGACTGATTTGAGCCTGGAAAAGTTCAGCTGCAATAAGGGCAGGGGATAGCCATACCACCAGATGGAGGGTTATTTGCGTGCCTTTTCCTGGCTTGGTGCTTCTGCTCAGCAGCCCCTGGGTCTAGCTCTGTTACAGGAAATGGCACCTTGGTGGGGATGGGATTGGCAAGTGTTGTCCTATACAGTGTCTTGCCAGGCATCTTGACAGATATCTTAGGCTTTGAAGGAGGCCTTCAGAGTGTGTTTGAAATGTTTACTTTTTCTAGCAACACTTGCCACGTAGAGGTTTTCCATGGAGAAGTCTTTGGGAGGCAGTGATCTTGCATGTGGACAACATGACCTGCCTGGCAAACTCAACTCCACTGGGCCTGTATTAGGACTTGGGGAATATCAGCCTTGTCTAGGACTTCATTATCAGGAATTATATTTTGCCATTTGATGTTCATCAGCTTCCTAAGGCAGACTGCATGGAAAAGGTTGAGCTTCTTGGCCCGATGCTGGTAAATTGTAGAGGGTCCGTGTCTCGCAAGCATAAAGGCATATTAACAACATGATCTCTCTATGGACCCTCAGCTTTGTGTGTTGACTGATGCCCAGTCTGTTCCATGCTTGTACTTTTGTTTGGAGACTACATAGAGAGCACTGACTTTTGCAATGCTGGCACTGACTTCACAGTCTATGATGACGCTACCAGACAGGATACAGTTTGTCCACTACATTTAGTCTCTGATCATTTATGGTGATGGTGGGTTCCACAAATTTTGGAAGCAGCTGGATGGTACATGGCCTTGGTAGTGCTGCTAGTCTTAGGATTAAGAATCTGCCAATACATTGTTTGTATGATAAAAGTAAAGAATGGAAAACTCTAACATGGAGAAGTATCCCACAAAATGGAGAATGAGAATTTGCTACACTTTATCAGCAGAACAACAGAACTAGATGTTCTTGTCACTCTTATTTACAAAAAATATAGTTTTCGCAGTTTGTTTAAGTTGTGCACCAACATAATTTGAAAGTTTAAAGTCTTTAAGACAATTCCAGCAAACAGAAGATAACAAAGTTTCTTGCAAACTTTGTATTTTGTTTTCGTCATTTTGTTCCATTTTTCATTTTGGTTTTCTGACAAACTCTAAAACTCTGCCTACTGTCACACCCATGCATAATTGTGAACTGTTTCAACACAGGATGGGGGCCAACAATGAATCTAACTTTTGTGTGGCATAATGTAGGCCTATAAATCAACTTTTTATACCTACGTATTGAATCTGTTAAATGCCCTCATCAGTATCATTAGCTGTTGAAGTCTCAACACAGGAACGTCCAACAGCTGTACCACAGGCACAGAAATGGCAGATGTACATTTCAGTTTTTATTTTCCGAACTCACTCTATTCTTGGATAAACTGTTTAGTCTGGAAGACAATCCAAAGGGGCATGTGCTTAAGCCATGGTAAGCAGACCTGCCAACCTTGCCGTACTCCTTCCTGAGATCAGGCATTACCACACAATAGATTAAGAAGTATTTTAATCAGCCTTCAGTTCATTGAAAACTTTAATCCATTGTGTGGTAATGCCTGATGACCTCAGGAAGAAGTATGGCATGTTGGCAGGACTGGGTAACGGATGTAACAACTTCCACAGCAGAAACAGATATAGCTCTGAGTCAGAACACATTAAACAACACCTGCGTACATGCCT